GAGCAACCCTGTAAGACAGTAGAAGTGCCCCACAGGGATTCCAAGGCTGTCATCTTTATGGAGGAGCCCTGGTGGCACAGTGGTTAAGCGTTCGGCTGCTATCCAACAGGTTGGCAGGTCGAATCCACCAGCCACTCCTTGGAAACCCTAAGGGGCAGTTCTACTCTGGCCTATAGGGTCTCTATGAGTCGGAATCAACTCGACAGCAACGGGTTTGGTTTGGAATCCTTACGGAAGCAGACTGCCACATCTTTCTCCCACAGAGCAGCTGGTGGGTTCCAACCACCAGCCTTTCAGTCAGCAGCCAAGCATTTAACCACTGCACCAGCAGGACTCCTCAATCAGGCACTAAGTGGGCATATTGTACACATTAACTCATTAGACCTCCCAACAACCTAAGAATACTGCATTACCCTTTAAATCATACCATTTACCAAAGTTTCACATCTATTATTTCATCCAGTCCTCAAAAAATCCTACAATGTATCCTAATCTTAAATGCTCTCAGAGTTTATACCTGGCTTCTCTAAGCGAGCACATCACACCCTCATCACTCAAGACTCTGCTCTCCTCTGAAAACTAAGTTTCCCAAGGGGAAGAGTTTAGTCAAAGGAGAATGCCTCCTCTTTTAAAAATGTGGGTTTGAGGGTGTGATTTGTCCTTTTCAAGTGAAAGCAGGTGAGTTTGGTATTGAGAGTCACCTGGACTAAACTCACAAAGTTACTGTGTGAGGGAGACAAGAGAAATAGACCCACAAAGTAATGTGCCCTCCATAACAAGAAACTGACAGCTGGGCAAAGCAAGGGGATTAGAAAGAAGACACACCTGGGAAATCTGGCAACCTGCCCACACCCAGGTATCGGTCACAGCCATCAAATGCAGACAAAAGGCCAAGAAAATGCCTGAACACATTCTCACCTCCTTGGGCATTTTCCTCTTAGACACGACTAGGAAAGATATGAGCTGAAATCCACGGCCCCTTTTACCACAAGATGGCAGACTTCAGCACAAATAAAAGTTGTGATTTTCCTATTCGAAGATTTGCTGAGAAAGGCCCAAATCAAACCAAATGTTTTTAATGCCAAATGAACAAATTTTGGTTTCCAAGTGTATTATTTACACAGAAAACAGTCACTCTTTCGTCCCTAAAGTATAAAGGGCCACAACATTAAGATATAACACCTTGATACTCCACAAGTGAGGCGGTGGTGGTTCAGTGGCAGAATTCTCGCCTTCCATGACGGAGATCCGGGTTCCATTCTCAGCAGGTACACCTCATGCACAGCCACCACCTGTCTGTCAATGGAAGCTTGAGTGTTGCTATGATGCTGAACAGGTTTCAGCTGAGCTTCCAGACTAAGACAGACTAGAAGAAAGGCCTGACAATCTACTTCCAAAAATCAGCCAATGAAAACCCTATGGATCGAAACAGATTGATCCGCAATCAATCATGGGGATGGCACAGGACCAGGCAGTGTTTTGTTCATTGTACAAGGGTCACAGTGAGTCACGGGCCTACTGGATGGCAGCTATCAACACCAATTAACTCCAATAGTCTTCCCTCCCACCCTTACAAACACCAAAAAAAAAAAAAAATCAGCTATACTTAGAAGTCTTTAAGATGGTTTCCAAACCCAAAGTCAAAATAGAAATGTATCAGTTGCAATGGAACAATTAAGAAAAAGGGTCAACGTTTTCAAGAAGACATACTGAGGTGATTTCTCCCCGGCTGGGACTACACTCACCTCAGCAGCTGACAGTAAGTGGAGAGGCGTTAAGGCAGGAACTTGTCTCATTTCACAGCTTAGGCCAAGGGTTGTCAGGATCTCCTTAAGAACTTCATATCTTCTACAGTTGCTTGATTTGAGCAAATCAAAATCTTCTTGAGTTTGTACTATCAAAGAGCTGGGAGGTAGTTCTAAGTGCACCTAAGGGGAAAAGATACCACTTTGTAAAATGGTAGCACTTACAGACACTAAGAAAAACAGCTTCTCTACCAGTTCGTCTGAAAACTTGAACATGAATCCTTCTGATTATCAACAGCGTATATAAACTTTGAATCTGAATATTTGGAAACTAATAATGAGCAATAAAAAAGACTCCAAAGAGCCTATTAAAATCGTAGCT